CCCCCAGCAGCAAGGGCAGGGACTCTCAGCCAAGACCAATCAGATGGCTAAAATCTGGGACCTTGAAGGCTAAGATGACAGAAAACCTGAATAGTCAGAGGTAGTGATGGCAGTGGTGGCAACCTCACCAGATGGTTATTGGGGTCTGACTGTGCTCCCTAGTACATCCTGAAAGCCTGGGTTTTGAGCCTGTTAGTGGGTGCTGTGGATCTGATCTCAGGGTTCCCCGCAGGCTTATGTTCAAAGGCCACCAGTGGCACAACTAGAAGTGGAGGGTTTCAAGTGACCAGAGGGTGTCAGGGTGAGACTGCGGCCTGTCCTTGTTCTCTGTGATTTCCTGGACACCACATTCACGGTTTTCCTCATGATAAGCTGCCAACAGCACAGACCCAGGCAAGAGGCCCATCAATCATGCCCTGAAACCTCTAAAACAGCAAATCAAAATAAACCCTTCAACCAGAGAGATTCCTAACTGCAATCCTAGCATCCACAAGCCTAGGACAGGGGGACAAGGAATTTGAAGCCCCCAATGGGTATACATAGTTAATTAAAAGTCTACTCTAGGTTATACAGTAAAAGCCTATTTAAAAAAAACAGTAACAAATAAAAATGTTTCCATAGAAGTTGATTACCTCGGGTATTTTTATTAGAGTGACAGAAAGCTGTCTAAACACAGTGAATGTACAAATTATTCAAAATTTCCATCAATTATTTTGTTTACAATAACAGAAACTACATTCCATTTTTTGCCTCTGGAATTGTAGCAATGGGGGCGATTACTATAACAACCCGAGCACAAACGCTCAGGTGCAGGACATATAAACAAGATGTATTCCAGGAGGAACGAAGCAGGGGAAGTGGGAGGCCTTCCTTGGTGACTACTTGGAGGCAGAAGACAAAGGACAGGACAGAGTTGATAGGAACATGCAGGAATCCAAAGAGAGGGGGAGGACATTCAGTAGAAACTCCGAAGAGAGATCAGATTTGTGCTGGCAGAAGGGGTGTGGTCATGTGAGACTTATTGAATTGAAGGTTCCTGTTCTATGTTCAAAGCACAGTGCCTGCCAGCCAGCTCAGTATACAGGTGGTTCTTAGAGGAGACCAGGATGGAGGCAGAGCAGATGTGATGCAAGAGCTGGAAAAAGAAAGGGAACCAAGGGATGCTGACGTCAGAGGAACCTAGGACGATGCTGGTTCCTAGTGTTAAATACAGCTGTATTTTGGTGGTGGTTTTAATTTGTTTATGTGGGGTGTGTGTGTGTGTGTGTGTGTGTGTGTGTGTGTGTGTGTGATGGGAGATGGAGAGAAGTTGTGGAGGTCAAAGGATAGCTTGTAGGGGTTGGTTCTCTTCTTTCCCATGGGAGTTCCAGGGATTGGATTTAGGTCATCCAGCTTGGGCAAGCACCTTCATTGGCTGATCCATTTTGCTAGCCTTTAAACTTTATTATTATTACAGTTTTAAATGGTCATTTTGACAAAAGATATGGCCAGAGGTTTACTGATGATTTTCACAAATTTGTAGAGTGATGAACCAAAAAGACAAAAGGGAAAAAAAATTTCACAAACCAAAACACAAAACCAACCAGATTTTAGTAATACAAGGTACCAGGAAAAAAACATTAAAAGTCCAGGTATGTTGGTATGTATCTGTAATCCCAGCACTTGGGAGGCTGAGGCAGGAGCATCACTGTGAGCTCAAGGTTTGCCTGGGTTACACAGCCAGATGATATCTTGAAAATTAAAACAATCAGAAAGTGTTTTTTTTTTTTTTAAAGAAAAGTTCATTTTAAAGGGCAGATAAGTAATGCTTAAAACTGGACCAAGTGATGGGGATAAGCTTTATACACGAGTCAGCCGTTTCGTCCATGGTATTTAACGAGCACCTCTCTCGCTGTAGATTCTGGGGACCAAGGTGGTGGAAAAGACACTTTTGCTTAAGAGACTGCAGCCTGGAAGGGAGGTTACCTAGTGTGGTGTGTAGCAACAGAGGAAAGGACAGGAGTTCTGAGAACAGACATCTGGGGGTTCTGGTTCAGATAAGGGAGGAGTTGGTTCAGAAACGGCTTCTCTGAAGAGCTGGTCAGGAAAAGGACTCAGATAAAGAAAAGGGTGTTAGGGCAGACACGTGGCAAACACTTTTTTTTTTTTTTTTTTTGAGAAATGAGAACTCATCTAAGCGTGGGAGGGAAGAGACCAAGAAAGACTGTGTGGAGGGCCACGGTGGGAAGAGTGTCATTCTGGAGTATCAAAGACACCTGTTCCACGGCTTGGTGCATGTGGCTGTCAGTCTGCAAGCAGGAGGTTGTCTAATGGCCACCATGTTCACTGTGAAATATTGGAACTGGTAGGGCAGGAATGACCTAGGTTAGGGGGCAAAGGGAAAAGGCTCGTGTGGGCAATGAAGCAGAGAGCTGTACTCTCTTGCCAGCCAGCCCTCAATTCTCCCCCAGATCCTCAGGAAGCGATGATAGCTTCCGCATTTCCACTACCCAAACCCTGATTGATTCTCAAGGCAAAAGAGTCTTGGATTCTTCAGTGCTTATGTCTAAATCATCCTCAGTGATCTCAACTATCATTCATTTTTACTACGTTCATAATTAAGCAACATACTCAACAGGAAGCAACTAAATGCCAAATATGTGGATATTAATTGTCTCCTCAGGAAGCCCAGATCCACAGGAAACTGTTGACATCCTCTTTTCAAAGGCATTCTCCTCCTTAATAAACTGGCTGCTTCCCGTTCACTTGATGGTTAGATACTGTAAACGCTTTCTCCTTCATAGCAAATCCTGGATATATTTTTTTTTTAAATCATGTGAAGTACAGTCACTTACCTACTGGCAAACAGGCCAAATGAAAGCATTTCCTCAGGAGGTGACTGTAGGCGGGAGCTACTGCTGGCACAGAGCCAAGGGCATTCTAAGCTAGGAGAGCTGAACAATCTCCGCAGTCATATTCGTCCACATTCATGCACGTGCATGGATAAATTGGCCTCTTGGGACGTCTACTTCTGATGGCATGTTTTTCAGATTCGCCCCCAGTGAAAGTACGCTAGTCTCTTACTAGGGTTCGGAATACTGAATCGGAAGTATCCACCACTACAACAAATGGGATGGGAAGCACCCACAGGCAATTTTCTTGCCATTCAAAGAGTGTGAAGGGCTCCTGATGATGTTACACTAGACAAGACAGACAAGGTTGCCCCCAGGGGGAAAAAACCCACAAACTGTAAGTAAAGGGAGGTAGGGAAGGATGGGGTCAGTGAGGAGAAACAGCAAGAAAACTAAGTGGTGATAGACTAAGTGAGGGGTTGGAGTCCACAAAACAGCAGCCTGGCAGATACACCACACACACACACATACACACACACACACACACGCACATTCTAACACACATCCTAGCACAAGCTTCAATGCATCAATCTGGTCACTAAAGTAATAGACTGATTTTCCTCAGACTTGGTTTAAAAAAAAAAACTTACCCTAACTGCTATCAATTTAAAATTCTAGCAGCTCAGGTTAATTTAAAAGAAATGAACATTCTGGATTTCCTCTAAAATGCAGAGGGCAAAGGGTGTGTGGCAAGTAAGTAACCACTGCAGGCAAGGGCAGATGAGGAACAAGTGAAAGGCGCCCACCACACCACAGCTTCCATGTGGCTGCCTGCAAACTCACAGCCAGAGGCAGCCAAAGGAGGCGAGACTGTGGATGAAGCCAGAGGGAGGTGTAATACAGTTGGCCTGGTAGTTATTCACCCCCTACTCCCAAACTCCTTTCCTAAAAGACAGGGAATAACAGGCCTGGAAGAAAACGCTATGCAATTTACAAAAAAAGTTCAGGAACGACTTCTCAGCCCAGCTCCTATTTCCTTTGACTACTTTTGACTTCGTGTAAATTGCACAAAACACAGCCATCAGCACAAAGCTCTCTTGGTACAGAGGCCAACACAGGGAGACACCCTGCTTCAAAGCAACAATTCTCCTAGCTGTCACTTTTCATGCTGGCTGGCCTGGATTTCTGTTAAACAAGCCCTTTCAATTGACAGTTTCCCTCATACCACATAGCAAGGTACATGGGCCACATCGAAGGCCTACACTGCAAAATGTAGAACTTTCCTTGCTCAGTTGCTGCCCCAGGAGCTGTGGCTGACTTGCAACTTAGCAGTCTCCAAGATGCTAACTGAAAAGAACGGGGGATTTCACAGCCTTGAACACCCCCACCCACTAATTTTCCCCAGCTACCTCTACTCCCACCCCCCGTGTACAAGTGGACTTTTGTATACATAAAGTTCCAGGAAACAAAGCGCACAAACACTCATACACAAATAAACTCCCAAGCTAACACCAGCTATAATAGTGTTTTGGTTGGAGCTTTTCCAGGCCTGTCACCAGCTCTGTTAGCAGTAAATGAAACTCTTGCTTTTGCAAAGACAGAAAGGGACAGCCTCTCCTATTTCAAATGGTAAAAGAGGCCCCCTCACATCTTTCGGTCCCCAGCAAAACGAACAGCAGAAGAGCTGGCAAAACAAAACAAAAAACAAACAAAAAAGAACGTATTCCCCAAATAAAGATCTTTCACTTCTCTCCTCACTCAGCTTCCCCTTTTAGCCGGAAACGCACGTCCCTTCCAATTTCTGACACCCCTTTTCAAGAAACCCGGACTTGGGCTGTTCCTGGGAATCCAGCTTTGGGCTGTCCCCAGGCAGGCGGCCCATTCCAGGCGCTTTTTTCTTTTTGTATTAACAGTCAAAGCTCGCTTTCTCCTTTCGAGAGAAATCTGAAAAGCAGCCTTGGTGGGCAGGCTTGGCTAGGTCTGATGCTGGGTCCCTTGCCTCTTAACCGCCTGCCTAGTGGGACAGGGCTGCACCCTGGGCTCTCCGCGTCCAGCCAGGCTGGAGAGAGACAAAGTTCCCCACCGCTTGCTAGCTGCTCCCATCAATGCCGGCTCCCGCCTTCCTCCACATTCCTGCGCTGAACTTGGCGAGCCGAGTGGCTGGCGTACCTTCCTTGGGCTCCTCCGCCTCGGAGAGCATGCTGTCGGGGTGCCCAGCCGCAGACGCCACCGCCGCGGACATGGACGTGAGGCTGCGAGGCTCCCAGACGAGAGCGATGCGCGCGGGCGGCGGGACGCGGTGGGAGGAAGCCGCTGAGATCAGAACCTCCCGAGGCGGAGGGCTGCGGGAGGGATTTTCAGGGGAAAGTTCCGCAGGAGTGACGAATCGCGCGGGGCTGGGCCACAGGAGTCCGCCCCCGAGGGGCCGCCGCGGGAGGAGGCGACCCGGCAGGTGGGGCCCAGCACAGGAAAGGTGCCCTGGAGAGAACGGAGGTGCGGGGCAGAAGTGCACAGGGGCAAGCTCGCACTGCATCTGGGGTTAGCACTTCTGACATTCCCTGTCTTGGGCTTTGACGTGAAAACTCTTTCAGGGCTGCTTTTTTTTTTTTTTTTTTTTTTTTTTTCAGGCTAGTGATACAGATGCTGTTGCAAGCGTTTGGAAGAGTCCCGTTCGCAAGGCACAAACTTCACCAGTGCCAGGAATGGCCTCTAAGAAAGTAGGACAGGATGGGCAGAAGCCCCCCTAGTGCGTGGCTGGCTCCCTCTAACCAATGCTGGGAGTTAAAGGCCACTCTGGCTTTGGGAAATGCTGACGGACAGGAGATAAAAGGCCAAAGGGCAGGAGGGCCCAGAGCACAGCAGCCATCCTGCCCTCCCCTCCCCACCTGACCCTTACTACAGACTCAGAGGAAGTCCTCTTAGCCCTGGGGTGGCCCCGGTTTGCCCTTCAGAGAAGTGGGTAGGACAGCTTCCACGACTCTACCTGTCTTCGGAGGTTATATATTTTACCAACCCTTGTTTTAGCACCAATCCTAGGGTGAGGGAAAAATCATCCAAAGGAAGGAAACACCCAACTGGAGATTATGTGGAGAGGTACATTCTTTAAGAAATGTCTTTTCCAGCTGCCTTCCTTTTCCTTATATCTGTTTTTATATGGAGGGGGCAGGCTCTATGGTCAATTTAATGGAAGAACTACGTAAACTGCCTAGGTTTCTCAAATCTGGGTTTAGATTGAGCTCTGCTATTTATTATTTATACGGCCTTAAGCAAAATAATAATAATAATAATAAACCTCTCAAGTATCTATTTGCTCATCTATAAAATGAAGATAAAAGTAATATGTAATTCACAGATGTGTCTGGTATTGCAGCCAGTACCATAAACAAAGCAATTTGATAGAATAAGTGCTACAAACGGGTTATCATTAACTATTGTGCCTTATGACAATAAATTTTTGTAAAGGATATTCTTGCCTTTTACTTCAACATGAAGTTTCAACAGTACCAATTCTATTTACAGGCAAGGGGACATCATAAATAGTAATATAAGGTCTGATATTAAATCAGTTCCTATTGACGGGTCATTGATTCTAACATGCCTAAGACCCTTTCGGAATTTTATATCAATTTTATTGAAAGGGCAAGGTGAACCGAGACATAATAGCCAGAGGGAAGAAAGAAACATCTGGAAAATATCAGTGCTGTGGAAGCCTACAGGAACTGTACATGCTTCGAAAAGAATAACGGGCTGCACCCTTCTGAAAATCAAGGTTACCACGGTCCCCTTTGCCCCACATCCTAGTGCTGGTCAGCCTATGCTCCCTAATCTTAGGTTCATGGCAGACACAGGCTGAGATGAAGATGGAGATGGTTCTGAACGGAAAGAAACGCTCCCTTGCCAGTCATACACGGTCTTGCCCGTCCTGAGGAAATCCCTCTGGCCTTCCCTACCCTACAGCGTCTGGCCTTGCTTCCCGCCTCCACAGGCCAGATGTCCACGGATGTCCACCGGGGGCTCTGGGGAACCTCGTCATGGCTGTGTGCTACGCACAAATGAGATAACTTTTGTCAATCTCTAGCTGGGGTGAAGCAGCACCTTTCCCAAGATGAGGTGATGGTTACGCAAATGAGGACCGCCCAGCTTCCACAGTCATCTGCCCCAAACACAATGACTTTCTCACTTCCTTCAGGAAGTGCCCCTTTATGTAATATTTATTAAATGTCATTTACAAACCCAAGGACATGCAAACCTCCTAAGGTCTGTTGAGCAGAAATCCTTAATACCCTGCTTGTTTTTTTACACGGGTTCGCAAAACGGCCTTCAGCCCAGCCCGGGTTAGCCAAGGAGAACAAGTGCTGAATGAACAGTTTGAATGCCGCCACAGCAGCCCCGTAATCAACTTAGTGTCCCGTTAACAGCCCTGCTGATCTCTGAACAGTCACCAGAATCCTCAGGAAACCTCCAGACAAACTTTTTTTTTTTATTCAAATACAGTCCAGCGGTCACCTTGGGGAAGAATGTCCCCAGATCAAATTCAGGAACAAAGGATGCCCGGCTTACCTAAAAGGACTGTTGATGATAAGCACACCAGAACCTTAGAGCCGTCTGCCGTGGGCAAACTATCCTGCTTCACGTCTCCAACTTGCAAAATCATGGCAATGGACAGCTGGACCTCCAGGGCTCTCATCTCCCCATGCTACTTCCAAGTGAATAATTGATAGTGTTGATTTTGCTAGAATTTCATTCAAAGTGGGTTGGGCTAGTCATAGTGGCTAATACTCCAGGACATCACAGGGACCTGCTACTGCCTCTCTGACTATTCATTGTTGTCTTTTGGACGGGGGTCCATAGATTGCCAGGTTGGTCTGAGATTTGTTAAATGACCAAGTATGACCTTGAACTTCTGATTCTCCTGCTCTCACCCCCAGTGTGCTGGGATTGTAGGCTTGCACCACCATGTCTAGTCTATGTGGGTCTGGAGATCGAACCCAGGGCTTCATGCATTTCAGGCAAGCGCTTTACCAGCCGAGCTATATCTCCAGCCCCCTATTTATTCCTGTATGCTTGAGAAACAGCCCAGCATCCTTACTTGAGCAATAAGCTCAGAATTCACATTAACCATCCTTTGTAGATCACTTACTATAAAATAGCAACTAAACTGGCAACATTTCAGATCTAGAAAAAGGCATACTTAAATACAATGTTACATTCCTACACCTCTGCAATAATAGAACTTTCCCATCTAGGTCCGTGTGGGAGGATTTGAAACCCTGAAACAGTTCTTATCATGTATCCATTGATTAGAACATTACAATAGTTACACAAGTCACATATAAATGGGTCTCCCTTAGCTGGAGCTTTCTTTTATAATTTTAGGTTTGTGAAAAACTTATTAACGCCAACCCAATTTAACTAAGTTGTAGTAAGGTCAACTGAATCTCGGGCAACAGGATAGGCTCTTTTCGATGGCAATCGAGTGAAGCTGGTTTTAAAAGAAAAGAGGAGGTGGCTGCAGCCTGGGCTTTAGGCCCTTTGGCTGTCAGAGAGCCAGGTGCCTCTGAAGAATAAGTAGATTGCAGGATCCTCAGCTCAGGGGGCCAGCGAAGTGGGAAGAGCCAGCATGGCTCCTCAGGGGTGTCCTGCTATCATACACCCCAGCAGACTCAAGGAGGGTCTCGTCATCGGCAGTGAAGACCAGGTACCTCTGCCAGCCACTCCTGTCCTGGCAACTGCTGGCTCAGAAGCAGCTCGGATCAGGCCATCAATGTGACTATTTTTACCTCTGCCCTGGTGTCACGGTGCTGAATCTGAACATATGAAGTTGTAGGTCACAAAACGGCTATTTACAGAGTATTCAAAGTGACTTTCTTCTGTTCGACTCTGAGGCTGTCCTCAACTTTGCTATTACCTGTCATCAGAGACTCCCAAAATCACTGGGCAGAGGCGGCATACACCTTTAATCCCAGCACTCAGGAGGCAGAGGCAGGCGATCTCTGTGAGTTTGAGCCCAGCCTGGTTTATAAGAGTTAGTTCCAGTACAGGCACCAAAGCTACAGAGAAACCCTGTCTCAAAAAAAAAAAAAAAAAAAAAAAAAAAAAAAAAAAAAAAAAAAAAAAAAAAGAAAGAAAGAAAAGAAAAGAAAACAACAACCTCCCAAGATCTCTTTACAAAACTGACCTTCACACTGTCCTAAAGTGTGGAAAAGGCTCTTGGTTCTTGTTCCCATTTGGTTGGGGCTGAGGACCTTCCATCCAAGACAACATTCATACTCAAGCCTCCAAACCATGGGAAGGCCTCACTGGGTGTCTCTCCAGAACCCTCCCTGGCCCGTATCCTTGCTCTCAGTGCAGAATGCGGACTCGTTTAACAGTGGAGGTCATTTATGTACCTTCCGAGCAGGTGAAGCTCATGCTTCCTGTGGCCTTGTATGTTGATGAGCAGAGGAGCTCGGTTAGGGGTCTGAGCATGAAGTGGAACAGACGCGCCTGAGCCAGCAGAGGCAACTAAGAAAGAGCGAGGCGGCGGGAAAAGAAAGGGGGACTGTCACCAGACTCTGGGAATGTGTGGTTATGGGTAAATTCCATTCAGACTTCCAATGACGGTGCCAGCAAATCTTACATAACCATCAATATTCTGGGTGTGAGCAAAGGGTTCTGAGGGAGTGAGAAGCGCTGACTGCTGAGGTGCGCGCTGGCAGGCAGACAGCTATGCATCTGGTGCGCACTTGTTTCCTAGGATTCCATTGTTTGTTTCTGTTTCTCTCCTAAGAAATCATCCGTGCTACAAAGCTTTGCGTAGATAATCACAAAGCTCATGCGCACCGGCATGCAAGCACGTGCACGAATGCGCGCCCGCACACACACAAACACAGAGACCAGGTTGGAAAATACTGAAGGATTTGTGACTCCATGATCCTTTTCCTAGAATACTTATCAATAATTCTTTTTATGTTTTCTTTTTGGAAACAGTGCTGGAGTTTATTAAATAGAGCTTTCACGGGAGTTCAGTCTGGGTATTAACTTTAGGGGTATCTCCGAGAGGTGCTTAGGAAAAGAGTACTATAGACCCAAGAAATAGGTCTGGCTTCTCCAGAGACAGTGGCACCACTGTGTTCTACAAGAGACGGCAGGTATGACTTGGTGGCTCTGAAGTGACATTCTTCAGGGGGTTTCTAAGAAACTTTTCTCTCCTGTTTTTTTTTTTTTCCTATGTGGTGTGGGAGGGGTGAAGGTGATGAGGGCAAAGGGTGGTTTCTGAGGTGCAGCGGATAGTGCAGGCTGGAAAGGAGGAAGACTAAACTCACAGGTCACATGACTCATTGCCATGTGACCATTTTGCTTGAAGAGTATAAAAAGGAATTCTACGTAGGTATTCTTCATTGCAAATTTTGTTACTTACGTCAAAACTCTTGACCCTGGGTTAGTGAGAGAATGCAACTACACTCCAAGCTGAGGGGCTCCTTTCTCTTTCCATGTTCTTTAAAATTTTTACTGCCTTCCTATTTTGCCTCAATCTACTTCTCTGAAATTTGG